AATATACTTTATCACACCCTACTAGCCGTTTTCCCAAAGCAAGTCCGGAACCCCCGCTTTCGATCCCCCTTTGTGTATACATAGCAAATTTGAAAAAATCTATTATTCATCAAAACGGCCGAAGACCAAAAAGTTTTTTACATTTCTGGCATCAATATAACCTGCTCTATCACACCCTACCAGCCGTTTTTCCAAAGCAAGTCCGGAACCCCCCGTTTACGACCCCTCTTTGTTTATACATAGCAAATTTGATTTTGATTATCCGTCAAAACGGCGTGATTGAATTTGTGAATTTTAAAGCTTTCACTTTTGAAAAAGGTATCACATTATAATTAAAAGAAGAGGTATGTACATGATGTATAATTTTAAAAGTCTTCTGAGCGCATCTGTATAATCTTATAAGGCTTAGCAACATTAACCTTTAGAAGAATTCTCAAGAGTGATACTGGTGAAAGGTATTCGACTGTGGCTAAAACCTTCTCAATGCAGCTAGGTTTAGAATCAATTCCCTGGACACATGAATGTCCCGGCGTTTCATAGTTTGTTATACTTTGGATTGAAGGGTTGATTAGTAAGGCTGAACACATAGTGGAGCGGTGAGAAGAGCGACGAGCAGAGCAGAGAGGAGAGCGGCGAAAACAAAAGCAATAGTTCCAATCGAGTATAACATAGTGAGGCGAGCTCAAGCGAGGTAACTGCGTTGCTATAAGAGAGGATAGCGGCGAGACCAAGCAGATTTGTTTTCTCTGCTCTCCTCGCTGCGGAAATACTGTGTATTAAAAATGGATGTTGATGCATTTATTACTAGTGTTTTTGTTAAAAATCCCCTATGGGATCAGAAAGACTCTCAGCACCATAACCGCTTTGTTTTGGATAAACTGTGGGATGCTGTGGCCGAAGAAATGAAAACAACAAGTGAGTATATATTTTTAAATTTTATTTCTACATACGTAATTTTTATACGTCTCTCTAATAAAAGTGGCAGATGCTGTTGGCCTATTATTTGCTCGCACAACGTCCGAGTTATTACATTGAGACTCGGATTGGGACAAAAATTGTTCATCTTGAATTGGAATGCCCTCTATATCAATTATTGTATTGTGTAGAATACAGATACACTTAATAATATCATCTGCTAAGTCTGGAGAGGCTTCTATGGGCTTGAAAAGAATACGAAACTTGGCACTGATGATTCCAAAAGCACACTCTACTACACGTCTTGCACGTGAAAGGCGCATATTGTAATATTCTTTTTCTGCATCTAAATTTCTTCTATTAAAAGGTTTCATTAGATTATTTAATAAAGGATAGGCTTCATGTCCGATAAAAACATAGGGTACAGTGATCATAGTGAGCGGTAATGTACCATCTTCAGGAATATTTAGACGTTTACTCTCAATCAGATGAAATAGAGATGAGGATCGGAATGTACCCCCGTCACTCTGCTTGCCATACCCTCCAACATCAATCGTTATAAATCTATAATTTGCATCAGTAACAGCTTGGAGAACAATAGAAAAGAAGTTTTTGTAATTATAGTACATAGTTCCAGAGTGAGGAGGACATTTCACACGAATATGTTTTCCGTCAATTGCCCCCAGACAATTGGGAAAATTCCATTTTTCGTAGAATTCTTTTGCAGTGTTCTTGAAGTCATTTTCGGTAGGAAGTTTCATATGCAGAGGTTGTAATATGTCCCACATAGCTTTTACTGTTTCTCGCACAATTGATGACACGGTCGTAGCACCCATTCGAAAAGTAAAACTAAGAGTTTTAAAAGATGATCCCGTTGCCAAAAACCTGAAAAAAAAACTTCTTCAAGCTTAAATTCTGGTAAAAATATTTTCTCATTTCAGGGAGTATCGTGAGGACAAAATGGAAAAACTTGCGAGACACATTTCGCAAAGAACTTAAAAAAAAGCCAGTACAACGATCGGGGGATGAGGCATCCTCTTGGACATCATCTTGGCAATATTTTGATAGTCTTTATTTTTTAAAAGACCAATTTACTGCCCGAGTAAGCACCGGAAATTTGCCCGAAACTGAGCAAAACATCAATATTCTGGATGAAGAAACAAACACCCAGTTATCAGAACACCGATCAGAACCAAATAAGCCAAACTTGGATGATTCTACTTATGCCGATAAATTACCACTGACGAACGATTCGTCTCAAAACAAAAGCAGTTTAACTATCACACCTACTGTTAACAAATTAAAACGAAAGAACCAAAATGACACAGATGTTGGTGCTGCACTTATAAGATTAGAAGAACAAAAACTCAGGATTCTAGAAAAAGAGAAAAAAACCCTTGATGAAGACGATTGCTTTTTTGACAGCCTTCTACCACACATTCGCCCGCTCACCCCACAAAGAAAAATGTTATTAAGAATGAGAATTCAGGAACTTGTTTATAACTTTATTTACAATGATCAGCCGCCTAGTCAAGCTACTCAAAGGCAAAGTAATCATCAAGCTCAAAATATGCATGATGTATATGAAGTAAATTCATCCCAAATAATTGATTTGCAGCCTCTAAGGGTCTCCTCGAATCCTGCATCAGTTGGATCTTATTTGACCAGTTTTTCCGAAGAATCTCTTAATGATTTTTAATATTTTCACATAGGTACAGCTATATGAGTAATGTTTGTGCTTTCATTTTAGTTTGGGTTTTCGTTCTGAATAAAATATAAAATTGAAAGTGTGCACGTTTACTTACCTTAAGGTCAGTGCAACTCGTTCTGTTGGGCTAATAGGGTTACAATTAAAGTTGGTCCAACTTTTTACTAACTTATGCTGAATTTTCTTCACAATATAATCAAAGGTTACAATACTCATTCGGAAATAAGACTTAAACTTCTCGGGATGCTGCCTTAGTTCTTCATACAGGTGATGAAATTCACCATGTACATGCCTACTTTTATTTATTTCATGAACACTACAACTTCTCTTCCTATTTTTCAGAAAATACCAAATTTTCAGAGAAGAATTTTCTGCTAACAACAGATCCATCTCTCTGTTTTGATCGCGCTACTATGTGCAGGCATCTCTTTTATCACCGCGACACTCAATCGCCGCTCTGCTCTCTGCTCTCCTCGTCGCTCATCTCGCCGCTCCACTATGTTTTCAGCCTAAGAAATATGCTAAAGCATAATATATTAGACTACATATTTCGCTTATGTGACTCGCAACTATCACTCCAAAGAATTAAACATTTTAAAGTTTTGTTTTCTGCAAAAACCACTTCTAAAATTTTAATCAAAGCAGCTGGGTCATTGCCAGGTCTACCCATTAAAGATTCATTCCACGTAAACTTGATTTGTACTTGACAATATTGCCGTTAAATTAAAAACATTAAGTTTGCTTTTGTAATAGAATTGCTGCTTTCTGCTTGGGGACACTGCAGAACATTTTGTAAATCAAATAACCAAAAATGGACTATTTTGGTATTCTCTGTCTTGTTCTTTCTCATTTCTCTTTGCAATTTTTTCTTTTACATGATTCTCATATTCGATAGCCTTTTCTGCACTTAGAGTATTCTCTATTTTCCTTAATTTTGCCTCTTCACAGACGCCACACCTATCTTATTTTGGAACAAGGACGTATGAATTGTACTCTGTAGAAAATATTTTTCTGTAAAAAGACTCTTTTACAGCATTGCAGTTTCAGTACAACAAAGTTGTATGTAGCGTTCATGAAAATATGTTTTGTTACTGCTGCCACAAAGTTGTATGTATTACGTACCAATTTGTAATTCCAACGTAATCCAGACTGCATTGTGTATTTGTGATAATATAAATTTAAGGATGTGAGATAGAACTTCGAAACTGTATGGTCAAAGTCTAATGCACATACAACTATATAATGCTGTAAACTGAAAATCAAGAAAAATAAGACATATAACAGTTACACATACACCAAAGCCTTAAAATGACCTAGTTTTTTAATTCCGAAAAACTCGGAGTGGGCCAAGCCCCACCCTTCACCCTACGCTACAAGGTGGTTTTGTGGTACGATTAGGTTTATAAATCAGGCGCCGAGCGGTATGAAGGTTACCCTAGCTTTTTTTGATGTTAGTTTTTTATACTCCTACCAACACGAAGGTCTGAGGCCTAAACACCCATGGGGTACCGGGGGGCTATAGGAGAAAGGGTGGAACACGTGTTAGACCGTCCACTAACTACGGACAATCATAAGATGGATAGCCAAGGGGAAAAATCTCTTGAGACGGGATTCGAACCCGCGCAGTGCTCGGCGACTGATTAGTAGACCCATAACGTCTATCACTACGCTACCGCTGCTGCCTGAGTGTTTTCAAAGTTCTTTTGATACTTCGCGAAAGTATTCAGATCTTTTCGATGTTTCCGTCCGAGTTGGGTAGTCAGTCGTGGTGAATATGGCAATTTAGGAAGACGTTAACAAACTTGTGTTTTTGAATCGAACGGCGACAACATCAACAGTATTTATGAGTAAAATAAGTTACAGAAAAGTACTTGAAATTCCTGACCAAATGAATAGTGGGTACTTTTTTCCAATTTCTGTTTTGCATTTTTGCTACTGTTTTACCGCACATTAGCTTTGTTATTTCAAACTTCTGAACAGGAACGGCACAGCTTTCAGCACAACCTGTATTATCCGCACAGCGAAATAATGAAAGTACGGGAATGGTAAGAGGTGCTGCAGAAATCGGTGTCTGAGAAACTATCGTCGTTATCAGATCCTTTCTACTACTATTCGTCGTTGTATGTCAGAGCGGCTACCAGCGTTGTAAGTGACAATGAAGCTAATTTATTTGGCCCTAGTTCCATTACACATGGCTAGCCGTTAGTAAGTGTATGGTGAATGGTAGCATGAATAAAGACAAGTAGTCTGTAGTGCGGAACTTGGATAAAAAAACAAGTGATAATCGTGTGCATGTCCGCAATAAAGGTACAGGAGCAGAACTAGAAGGACTGGTGAAACCCGAGCGACGTACGTTTCTGCTTATTCGCTTCATCATGTGTATTGAAAACACCGAAATGAGAACATAAGCATCACGTCTGGATAGTGTACGACCGAAGCTAGTATTTCAGCCGAAACCGAAATTTTGTTCGTGCTTTAGTTTCGGCCGAAACCGAAACAGCCAACCGAGGAGTATGATATGGGATGTTGGGAGGTAAGATGTATCTTCAAGAAAAACAAACTCAGTCTTAATCAATTATTATCAGTAATAATAATAGCAGCTTATTATTAAACAAAAAGAGAACTAATATATAATAATCAGTATTTATCAAAGACCTAGGAAAAGAAAACTAAAACCGTACTACATGTATCTCTTGAAACACGAAATAAATAATGTCTGTTTGTTTCTAACATTTTGTAAAAAAAAACACAATTAAACAAAAATAACTTATGGACAGTTGCTCTAATATTAATTAGACTGAAACCTAATTTAATTTGAAGATTTATATTGCCCATTAAACATTTTATAAACTGTGTATAACTGAGTTTAAAGATCGCCTAATGCCTTTTCAGTCTTCAAAAATTTTATTTACCATATTTTAAACGATAATTTGGGTATCCTTGTACTAATAAATAGTGGTTTTCTAAAAGAATTATTTAAGACCAAAAACAAATACTATTTCCAACTTGTCATTTTGTTTTAGGAAACGTAGTTTTGAATTCCGCCTGACATTGAGCCTGAATTGAAATTCTCCAATAATTTGTAAGTTGTCTACTACCTCAAATTACATAAAAAAATTCCCCAGATTTCTGCAGTCTTACAAAACTCAAATTCAATGTTGGTGCAACAGGCCATTAGAATGTAGTCTAATAATCACAATAATTGCACAATCTGATATTATATGACATGAATATCAATTATTCAACAAATTTGATCTTTGTTCTGAATAAATTAGTCCGCAGTCATCCGAAAACATACAAACGTAGTTTCGGTTGCAGTTTCAAAGCACTGTCTAAACCGAAACTCTGATTTTGGACCGAAACAAAAAACGAAAGTTCGGTCGAACTCTACATCTGGATACGGGTATAACCTGGAGGAAAACGAGGATGGAAAGGGAAATACAACTAGAAGTCAACAACAAGAGCCAGCAGACTATGAATTTATATTATAAAAAAATGTTCTGTACACCCACACTTTTTCAGAAAACAACACTTGGTATATCAGTTATTCTAAACGATAGAAGTATTGCAATCATAATCGTATGATTCTTCTTATAACGTACAAGTACTTTAAAATCTGGGGGGCGTCATTGTATCAAGAATTTTTCAATCATTCTTTACTGTGATAAATCCAAATTTATTATGAATCCGCGAGTCAATCTATTTGATTGTCTGGTATTATTCATCATTGCAGTACGTACTAGAACAACAAACAAAACTTTTAGTGTGGGGTGACAGTCTTTTTTTATTGAACATATCTGCCACATCACGTCTTTCTGTGTTATCTATGTGGGTATGGATTTAATATGTTTGAATACACAAACTTTAATTGGGTTTTCTAACCGGAAACGTAACAACAATTAAACGGCAATTAGATTCTTAAAAATAGCCCAAGCTAAGGCGTATTAATCTGCCTAGCTTTAAAGTCGCCTCCTCCGATTCCTTGCGGTGAATAAACATGCTCGCTTGAGGAAAAGGTCAAAACACCTCGTCAAGTATACTGCATATAGAATATGGTACTTTCCAAAGAGTATAAAAAAATGAACCGATTTTTTAAACACACATTTTGAAATACCGTTAAAATCGAATGAACCAGTCCACAAACATTTTGTTGGACGTTCCTACTTACTTCTGCTTTCTTGGTAAATTCCGTCGCAGTACAAAGATATTAAATTCATTTTCTTGTACGGGGTGTTTCAAATTTGACTCCCACCATTGAAGAGATACGATTGGTTAAATGAGGCCAATGTTGCGTATTTCGGTAACCAAGAAAATGACAGAAAAGTTTCGTCATTCCGAGAATTTCCGGAAATAAACGAAAGAAACAGAATTTTTCAAAAAAATCATTTTAATTTCTTCCTGGCTTTATTAGAGATGGAATTTGAAAGCAAAAACTACGTTAACATTGCCACTTTTTGTGCTCTACAAGATGGCATAATTAGAACTTTAATATCACGATTTGTCTCTTGTCCTCAATCATCAACTTTATTTTTGCTTATAGACTTATATTGGATTTTTCAACACTTAAATAGAGTTTTTAATTCCGATTCAAAAAATGTATATCTCCATACATTGTCGAACATGAGTTATTTCAAAAAAAAAAAAATAATATTGTCATAGTAGGCTTTGTAAAATGTAAAAACATTCAGATACTTCAGCCTTATATTGATATACTTTGGATTCAAAATATGTGCATTAGTTTAGATATGAAGGGATATAAAATTTGTTTGGGAAGCTGCAACATGGTCTTTTACTTACTCCAAAATGTTTCTATCAGATTTACAAAATAATACTGTTTTGAATGTTTGTAATACCACCCTTAAATTATATGAAAAAGTTTTAGCATTAGGTTGTTCTTTATTCGATGAGTTGAGACCAATTATAGGAAGATTGCTTTTTTAGCTATTTGAAGTTTTATAATTCCAATCATGAATGTGTGGTGGCCATATCATAAAATCATCCATTTCCTGAAATATGACCATATCGTTAAATCGTCAACGTTTAACTAGTTGGTCATCCACGATTGATCATATCGTAAAATGAGGTATCCATAGAATATTTGATAAGAACCCAGAATATGTTACGAATTCGTTTATTGTTCTTTATGTACGACAACCATTTTGATTAAAACCAGTAACTTTAGGAAATCAAAATGCAATAATTATATTACAAACGTATCACAAACAAAATTTTTGAATATAGCAGATATCACAAATTAAGCTATTAGCTAGCGTCGTCACCCTACTATGCTTATTATATATATATATATATATATATATATATATATATATATATATATATATATATATATATATATATACATATATACAGGGTGAACTTGAAGTTGAGTCATTAATTTTCAAATAATGATTGTAGAAGGAAGATAAACCAAAATATGTGTGTAAAAATAAAAATAAAAATTAAAAAAAAAATGTTTCCTTGTTTTATAAAGTATCCTCCCGACAAGTATTTCAGTGCGGACCTGTATTTGATCGTGCGGTCTTGGAGCACCGGCATGCCCTCCCCTGTGAGGTCTTAAGTCACCTGATTCACGAGCCCTTTGTACTACATTAACAAAGGCACGAGGGGTTGGTTGCACTCGATTGGGAAACCGATCCGCATAAAGACTCCCCCCCCCGTAAATAAGAATCATGTCCACAAGTTCAGCATTTTCGTAAACATGTGCATTTTTTTATTTGGTTTAAGCTACGCAACAAACACCACTATTCACTCACGCGTTACCGACTGACACATTGACGGAAAACAACTGAATAAAATTGTACATTGTAGTAAAAACATCGTTTCAAATTCTTTCGCTTTTTTGTTTCCGATGCGATGAACAGATAAGGCGGATTATATCCGTTGTTGCCAAACACGAGCACATAATATTATTATTGAGACAGCGCGGTACTCAAACTTCTAAAGGGCTATAACTTTGTTACTCTAATTTTACCAGAAAAATGTTAAAGGAAAAAAGCATTTCTTTTGATCAGATCTACTCACTGTTAAAATAAATGACTCAACTTCGAAGTCACCCTATATATATATATATATATATATATATATATATATACAGGGTGTCCGCAAAGTTGGGGTTTTCCTTTACACGACGTGTAGATCTTGAAAACATAAGCAATTTTTCTTAGTACCATATACACCAATGTCTTAAGGGAACCGAGATAAAGGGCTCTGCAACATCAAAAATATCTGAATACCGTCCTGTAGCCGCGACTCGCGACATCCCCAACTGGTACCGGCTACTAGCTGAACCCGACGACAGAACTGGGTCGGGGGTCGGGGTCAGTGTGTCAGGTCAGTATGCAACCTTCAACCGACGGTAAAGGGTCACGCGTATAGAGGTAACGAACCCGTATAATCGATTGCGTTTCAAAAAAAAATAATAATGGCACACTCATACACCAATAATGAACTCGCTGATATGTTGTTAATTTATGGCGAATGTCTTCAAAATGATACAGAATCGTCGCGAGTGTATGCAGATCGTTTCCCTAGACGACATCATCCAAGGCCCCGCAGATTGTGTACCTGGTCCAGAGAGTCAGGGATACGGGCCATTTGGAGGAATTTCGAGGTGGGCACAGTGGGAGGCCTAGACAACCACGAATGGTGCAAGTTGAGGAAGAACTACTGAATCGCGTAGACGAGAATCCCTCAACAAGCACTAGAGACGTGGCTAGAGAAGTGCAAGTATCAAAAACTAAAGTGTGGCAAACGTCCAGCGTGTACAAGCCCTTCAACCTGACGATTTTCCAGCAAGAGTGCGGTTTTGTGAGTGGTTGTTGCATCAACATGACAATAATCCGGACTTTTTGAAGTGCATATTGGTGACAGACGAATCTACGTTCACGCGTAATGGGGTGAATAACTTTCGATTTCAGGCAGAGACGTACTTAGCCCTTCTCGTCAACTGGAGAGTGAGTACTTTTTCCTTTATTTTTTTTTTACTTGGTCGCCCTCGTTTCACTACACATTACCTTTGTTATTTCAAGGGTAGTTGTTTCTGAAAAGGAAAACCCCAACTTTGCGGACACTATATATATATATATATATTGGCTAGAAGGCAAAGTATTGCAAAAGTACACTCTTATAACTCAAACTCAAGCTTTCGAAGGTCTATGTCTTCATCGTCTGGAGCTGGAAACAATTATTGATAATAGCAACAAATAACAATTAGGAGGAAAAATGTTACTTACTAATTCGGCGAGATTGTTGCTGAAATTGTTTTTAAACAACAGTGAAGGGAACACATAGTCGACGAATAAAAAACTCTACTGATGAGGTTCGATTAGGACGGAATTATTTTATTATTAAATGGCAAATCATAGCTATGTTTTTCTAATTTTTGAAAAGGTTTTTTACTTAAACGTTGATTGATTTTGGAAGAAATTTGTAAACTATCAACTATTGAAAATTCCTTCAAGATTTCGTCTTTTTGTTTCTGGCATTACTGGAGGTCTGAGCTCAAAGGCCTTATACCACACTACGGTTTTTTTCTCGCAAGCGGTAAACCGCCAAACCACAAAACTGCCCGCGAGGCACACACTACGATTAAAAACCGCGAAACTGGACACGATTTTCACAGTTTGAAGATGGATTTCAAGAGAGCTGTATGTGTTGTTGCTCTAATACTAAGAAGCAGAAAAAGAAACACTCATCAAAAATTTTGCAAATATTGAGTCCATCCACTGACTAGCCGAAGATTTAAGGAAGGTTTCTTTCATAAAAAGTATCAAGATTCAAGAAAACATCCTGAGAAATTTTTTCAACTACTATCGGAATGAAAACGAGGACCAGCGGAAGTTCTGTGCTTCAAGCACAATGGCATTTATATCAACGACATCCCATCCTAACACCTTTGACACTATGTTGCTAAATGTATGATTACTGGGGAAAGGTACATACGCAGAAAATTCTTGTCCTCCAGTTCTTCAGTTTTCAATAGTCGGTAACCCCCTTCCCTGTTTTTCCGTCGTCACACGATCACAAGAACATTCGCTCCCAAAAGTCTCCCCCACCTCAACATGTCCCACTGGATCCGCTTCCTGTGAATGAACTTATATTTTCGTTCAGATTACACGTGTCTAGCAACCCCCCAGCCTTACCCCCCATTTTCAATTAATTGTTTATTCTTATTATTTGGTTAACTTTTCTGTTCTAATCCGGTTCAGTGTTCCCCATGTCGACCACTCAAAGTCAGTACCAGTGGGCATCTCTTGGATAAGTCTGTAGTTAGTAAGTGGATCTTCCAGAATCAAGTCCAGGAATCATCTACGGAATTTAAGTATCTTTGATTTGCATTGAACTCCGGACAGAGATTGGTACTCATGAATAGTTTTTTCATGCCTTTCTATGAACTCGTACCCTTTTTTGAGAGAGGGGTCATACAGCTTGTTACATTACTTCTGTGGTTAATTAACCAAGTATGACATTGGAAACAGGAAAAACATAGCCTCCAGAGCCAGGAAGTCCCTCTAGGACATAGTTGCTTTCACCAGAAGGAAGAAATCAGAAGGACCTCTATACCTGCTGGAAAAACAGTTACAACTGTCGGGGGAAGTCAAATACCTGGGAGTAATACTAGCCCCCAAACTAACCTGGAATCCGCAGATCAAACGCTCTCATGGCAAAACGTGGGGATTAATTAAGCCCTTCCATGATGCAGTGGACGTACATAATATTGATAATGTCCATGATGACATACATCTCTGGTTCTTCATGACGGTGTGCCGAAGAATGACAGCACCGCGCGCGGTTGCCGCATCAAATGAGTGGGCGCCAAAGTAAGTTAGTGTTCTATGAACTACAAATTGTGGCGTGGTTTTTTCCCGCTGGCAAGTCTGTAACAAGTCGCGGTTTTAAAATCAGTCGCGGGAAAAAACGAGCTAAGCCTAAGTTGTATACTACATAGTGAGGATTTGTGTGTCAATAATATGAGTTGATGATAATTCCATTGGATCCTTGTCTCAAATACACTTACTTGAGATTCAAAGCTAGAAATTAGTTGCGTATCCACTTTTTCTTATTCATTCTGGAAATTACATATGTGAATTTGCTGAATTTTACACATGAGAGAGATAAGAAAAGAAAATCCCTGGTTGGTGAAGGAACAGGTGAGAAAATATGCTACAAGCAGGAATATTTATGAAAGTGAAAAGGTTATTACATTACTTTTTATTTCCAGTCATTTAAATTTTATAGAAATTTATTTTGCGATGTCAATAGAAACAACAAATCTGCGCCTAGGTGAGGCATTGCGAAAATGTTTGATGTGTGATGCGTCATCACGAATTTTTCTGTGATCTGGCTTAATTGCACACAACGCGGGCGCGGTGGCGATTTGTTGTAATGCTCCTTAAAGTTTTTGAAAACACAAAAAAAACTGGAAAAATCGTAATTTATAAACTGTCTTCAAAAGGACAACATATAAATAACCAGTCGGGCACAGCTAATAGATATACTTACTATACATACTACGATATACTATTGGCAGCATATTTAGTAATAATTTTCTCACGTAGTAAATATCACTGATTTTATACACATGCAGACCAATACACATAATCATCCAGATCCGATCTTGCTATTCAAACAACTTTCTTTGTTTCAGATCTTCTCAGAGATGAAAACTACAGACTTCTCGGCTTCACAAAACATATGCAACCAACAATGCGTGTAGATGAGTCATTCCTCCATAGATGGATGCTCACAACGATCCTAGTGAGCAAACGTGGAATGACTGTTTGCAAACTAAAAACTAGCTAGTCTGCACAATTACATTTTATAGGTTTTTACATAATACCCGTGCAGAGAACTCCACAGCTTTTTGACGATTCGATCCGTACTTGCATGACCAGCATAGTACTCGAGAACTTGAGTACCTTCTAATCGTAGAGTCTTTAATCTCACGTTCTGCCTTATTTGGTCGAAAATTATTAGAATTTTCCTAACAACTTTGTTATTAACGACTGTCGTGTTGAAGAAATGTAAACAAAGCGCCCTCTATTAATGCAAATATTTTACGATTTGATCAAACATGCTCTACCACTTCATGAAGTACCTACGAGTTTAGTTAATCATATCGTTAAACGCTTTGTTATCACTATCTGATCAACGCATATCATCTGGCGGATAGAGAAATGGTACATTTCATAAAATTCTCGATAATTTCATAAAATGGTCAATTTTAAGAAATGGCGGGGACATAATGTAAAATGTCACATCATCAAAGTCGGAAATAGAGCTGATCACATATGTATGTGTCGTTTATTAAAACTGAAGGAGGGTATGGCTGATGATATTATGAAACAAATGACTCTGATAATTTCACGGCCTACCTAGGAAATTTCTTTAAATAAATAAGGTTCGACAATGTCAATACATGACGTATCATACATTTTTGGAATCAGAATTAAATACATTATTCAACTACACAAAAATCCAATATGGCGTCTATAAGAAAAAATAAAGACGACTGAGGAGAAGTGATGAAACCCCATACTGAAAATTTAATTATGCCACGTTGTACGAGTAGAGGAGAACCTTTTATTCTAAAATCCTATCTCAACTAAAGACAAGAAAAAATAAAAACGATTTTGAGAACACTCAGTTTCTTTCATCTATCTACGGAAATGCTCTGAATTGCGAAACTTTCTGTCATTTTCTTGGTTACCAAAATGCGCAGCATTCCCTCTATTTAACCGACTGCGTATCTCCTACCTTACCGCGAATCCTAAGAAGATGGGAAAGATATTTGATTGATGCATTTTTTTAAATGAAAATTAGAATGTGCAGTGGATGTCTGGAAGGTTTGTCTGGCGGGCCTAAAGCGTGGCGGCATCATAGAAGAAAGCTCAGAGGAGCAAAGTTTGGCCTTCAATATGAGAGCACCTCAGACGCGTGAGCAGTATTCCAGACTGAGTCTTATCTGGGTCTTGTACAAATATTAAAATACATGAAGCTATTAACTGCGATGAGTTCAAAATTGCCGTACTACTATGAATTTATATTATCCACTAAAATTTGGAAAAACCGCACTGTCACTGATTTTCTCCAATTTTTGGCATTTTAAACGTAGGATATCATAAGGTGGCTGACGCAAAATCTCGACGTATACATGAATTTTTGTCCAGTCTTTCAGATTCTACAGTAAACAGTTTAATGTTCTTTTCCGGACAATTGCCAAAATAGGAAAAACACCATTGTAGCCGATTTTCTTCAATTTTTAATTCTTTTGGTTAGGAAAGGAATAGTTGGGTGACATGGTAGCCCATTGTATGTATGGATCTTTGCGTTATTTTTAGTTCCGGTATTCAACTAATGCTTCTTGTTCGGAAACTTGGTACCCCTACATCGAAAAACCACATGATCACCGATTTTTGGACAATTAAATGTGGTTTCTCCAATTTTCGCAATATTCCGAGAAACAAACCAAAATTTTGATTGTGGAACCTAAAAGAATTTTCAAAACTACAAATGTACAAGAGAAGGCTTCTATGTATGGGATGTCAATACCTGTCGGAGTTACACCTTATGTTGAATTCGGAAAAAGGTGCGTTCTTTGGGGCATATTTACATGTCATTGAGAAACTTTTCTCCGACTTCATTTCAAGAAATATCCAAAAACTAATTAATGGAACTTTCTCATTGGCACTTTTTATGGGTGATGGTGTTTTTAAATGTAGTGCCCGACGCCGACGTTTCGTTTTTGAGAAATGTGTGGTACATCGATGAATTTGTATAAAAAATGCTATTGGATGTAGGGTGTACTTTTTTTTGGACCATATAAAAAAATAAAGTTTATGGTTTCTCAAAAACGAACCGGCGGGCACAAAATTTAAAAACACTGTCATGTAGTGTCTAAAAGGTGCCAATGGAAAAGTTTTATTAGTTTTTTGATAATTCTTAAAATAAAGTCGCTAAAAAAATGGTTTAGCTAAATTTTAGTTTTTCCCAAATATAAGCGGTAAGTCCTGAAACTTTTACTAGTCTAACCTGAGCTGGATCTCCCACATGTATTGAGCCACCATGGATAGGATTCTTATTTTGGACATCCTGTATACGCTGAGTTTTTAACTTAGCGCTAGCTCATAATATTCGGCGTTCAAAATGTCAAAAATTGGAGAAAATCAGTGAAAAAACTGCGCCCTTAAAAAGTTATTTTCGACAACACACGTTTTTGTGGTTAAGGGCCTCGTCGATCTGAAAATTTGGCTATGGTGATTTGACCTAATATACTTTAATTTGGATTGGTCCAGATTTGGTTAACTTGGGGGGTAATTTTCATTCGTAGCCTAAAGCCAATTTACTTGTTGAACTAAAATTATGTTGTAACGTTGAAATGAGCATACAAGAACGACTCTATTTTCACGGTCATTGATATACTTGCTACCATACATTGCGAAACCATTTAACAAAATTCCAAATTGGCGCGGCGACAGGAGGAAATATAAACCAGATCCAGGCAGGTATAAAATTATTTCCAGAAATGTGTTTATGTTGTTGGGAACATAAATTTTTTTGCCTGTTCGAACGAGTTACTACGGAAGCAGAGCTGGCACTAATCTATCTGATATATTTACAACAAAACTTCAACATAATATTTACAGTTTTGGCGAACGCACCAAAGGAAAAGTGCGTGTGGAATCTGAACGATTTCTTCGAAGTTCAGCGACGAAAGCCAGCCTTTATTTAAAGCAGTATAGAAGATAAATTGTGTCGCCAACAAAATTTCAAAGTTTTTATACCGGTTGTCAAGAAATTATTAAACTTGTTTCTTCCCGCTGCTCCAAAATTTAAACTATATCAAGAGAAACGTTGAAATAAGCAAATGATTATAAGTTCGCAACCATTTATCTTACATGAGATAAAATATTGTTTCCATTAGTCGTCCACAATTATTGTTAACTTACTGTGTCCGACTAGAAGCGGATACTCATTTTTTCAAAGAAGGAAAATACAAAGATATTATTCATGGAACATATATGAATAGAATGTTAAAGAAAAATAAAGTTCTAGTGAACGATGATTCAACTTAATGAACACGAGTTAAAAGTTGCCCCAAACGAAACGCAGTTTAAAGGTCTATCTGCCTCGTGACGTCACTCCTGTTGCGACTGACAAGATATTAGAGGTCATAGTTAACTATGAAACTCCTTACTGGCCATGTACACTATGCTGCGCTAGTTACAGGTCACAGAGGCGCAAGTTATAAGGGTTTACAACGATCTGCGTCAACAGACGGTTAGCATCAAGCCAATTTTATTATGTGAGGCTTAGCGCAGCACCAGTAGCAGTCATGCTTAAGGTGGACGCCCAATGAACCGACCAAACGCCAAGGGAACCGCAGCGACATCTGTCATTTGCACGCGTGATAACATGACATTTTACGTCACCTCCCTTCGCAACGCTCCAATGTATGGGCTGTCATTTTAGTTATGTGTAAAGGAGCTTAGCGGAAGAGTTTAGGCAGAAATTTCGCCCCCATTATGTTCGTTTTTCTTCCCCTCAATGAGCGTGAACCGGACGGTGAAAATGGGCTGGTGCTGTGCCATCTACTGACAAATGCATTGCAAAGGAATGGGAGAAACAAAATTGTGCAGTTCCATGCGTTAACGCATCTCTGTGCTAAAAAACAAGTCAATTTACATCATGCACTATGCGCAAACAGCAGGACTAGTGAGCAGGGTGTAAACATGAACGCTTTTTGGTACAGACTTGTTTTAAAGCACAAAACAACTCGATTCCATTGTTAACTAGCCGGTAAACATGGCCAATAACATAAAGAAGATAAAAATAGTCGATGTGAGTGATGACTTTGACGATGACGGACAGCAGGAGTGACACTATAACACACTATCTGTAGATCCGTTTTTCAAATATTGATTGTTTTGTTTTACTTTTTTATATATTACACATATGTATATTACAAATTTTCACATGAAAACTTTTTCCACAAAAACTTTGCATCTATACAACGTTCTGTTTTTCTGACATAGAATATAAATTATGAATGAGCCGTTTGAAACATTGTTCTTCGCATTTGCAAACGGATTTTCAGATCTGACGAAACCACATATAATAATAAAACGCCTTTATTGGGCGAAGTTTCGCTTACGCTACAAATTACGTACAAAATAAATAGAACAATATATACCACATAAAAACGAATTAATTTAGTAAAATAAATCAAAATTGGATAAAAGGGAAAAGTATAAAATTATACATACTTACAGAATGATGTCAATGCATATAAGTAGACGTGGGAGATACATTTATCATAATGAACATGATTTTTTTGAATACTTTTTGAAATTCTCGAAATGTAAAGCTTTGGAATCAGAGAGTAAAGTATCGTACATGATAGTAGCATCATCAGGAAAACATTTAGTAAAAATGAAGTTCTGTGAGGAAGCATTGTAATTGTATGAATAATGTAAATAGCTCGTGCGTGCATAGAACCACGAAATTTTAACTCTTTAAAAAATGGGGGAATTGAGGTTAAGTAAAAGCTTATGATTATAACATAGTAAATAGAATGTAAAAAGATAACCATTCCAATTTTATGAACGAGGAGGTAAGGAAGTCATATTTTTTCAAGTTACAGACTAATCTGCAACTTGAATTTTGAATTGTTTGCAAGCGCTTGACGGATACTGAATATAAAAACGGATGATAAACCATGTCGCAGAATGTATTTGTTTAAATAATTAATGACTCACAGCGATTATTTTTAGTTTTGTAATCGAGAATTTTATAGTTTAAGTATAATTG